AAGTGCATATAACATTTAATGCCATTTTAAATTTCTACCACTTTCCAGTCAGCTCCTTTATACTGAAGCACTTGTTTTGCAAAAAATTCCATAACTACAGTGGATAAATTTAAAATTTTAAAATAACTATATAAGAGTGCATTCACATGTGTTTTTAAAAATCCCCATCACATCAGAATGCAGATTTTATCACAGGTACAATAAGTTTGTCCTTGTAATTTACCCCTGAAGATGATCTTGGAAAAGATCAAAAGTGCTTGTGTTACAAAAAACTATGGTGCCATCCTTGATGAATTTCATTTTAACATCAAGAAACTGATTAGACAACTGGAAAGAATCAGTATAAAAATACACACACAATATGTCTATATTATTTAATGAAACATGTTTGAGAGAAGATATGCTGTCTAAATATATATATATATATATATATATATATATATATATATATATATATATATATTTCAAGTGCACAAAGACCTTATCAAGGATAAGATTTAAAATACATTATTTACATTATTCGGACTATTGTCCTCATCTTTGTCGCCATATTTATCACAATGTTTCGGGCGTTGTACACTCCAGCCTTCTTCAGGTGGTTGGAATTTCAAACTGAACCCTTTATTTCGCTCACTGGGGTAGACTGTTCTAGTTCTAGACAGACTCTGAAGATTTAAAATGTTGAAAAACTTTTGCATAAAAGAATTGTGTTATATTTTATAAAAACTTGGTTATTCCACACTTTTCAATAAATTTATAAAAGTTTAAACAAATGCTCATAAAAATGAAAACCTTCACAAGCATATCTTATAAAAGAAATCATATATAAATTTGAATTCTTCTTCATTGTGTTTTAAAAAAAAATTGGAAGGAGAAGAGAAAAACAGAGACCCTCAAATCTCTTATCCCAAGTATTATGAATGGCACAAATGAAAAAACACAGGACTCTTAGTCCAGTGTGAAATTTGAAAGAAATTTACATTCATTAAATGACAATTTAAAAATAATAATACAGAATATAAAATTTACAAAATAAACTTGCACAAAATCTTCCTTTGTACACCAAACAATTAGGCAAGATAACAAGTGCTAATTATAATTCTGTTAGGCTCATAAAATCAGTTATATTTATCATCAACAAAATGGTCACTTACTTCAATTCATTTGATTGTTGAACTGAAAAGAATGGCAAATCACAGGTATCACTGGGTTTCTTTTAAGCATTTGTTAAATTTTACAAATTGAGATTAAAAAATGAGATAAATTTCATATTTTCATAAAAAGTTCAAAATCAGGGTTAATATGTCTAATTTTATGACAAACTTTTGCAAATAACTATGAGAAAGATAATTGTATATCTTTCGAAATTTGTAGAATATTCTTTCTGCCTTAACTTTTTGCTTCTTCCTTTGCTTTTTTTTCTGTTACATCCTTTTTGTCATCAGCATTGGTGGCTTTTAGTTTTTCTTTGTTCAGATGACAGAAACAGCCCACAGTTGTTCACATGTGAAAGCCAAATCCCTTCTGTCTGTCAAACTTCATAATAGCTACAAATCAGATACAAATCCAATAAAAACTTGTAAACTTTGTAGGTATAACTTACTTTCCCCAATGGTTAAAAATTAAGGAGAGATGCTTTCCAAGTTTATGAAAGGTGTCAATTGCATGCCATGTTTTTAAGAATGTATGTGAGCACTCATGCCTATTGCAATGTTGACCCATTAGCCTTCTTAGTACCAACAGAAGACTCTTTTAATCTCTAATCAACAAAAAGGTTGTTGAACACCTTAACAGTAACAACCTTCTGAGCAACAACCAGTATGGAACTCATATATATTGCTTAAGATGATGGATGGTCCATTGTACCACTCCAGCAAGTATCTGACTCCTCCTTCTATGCTCTATCTTTATAAGAGCCAGATCAGACCAAAAATGGAGTAGTGCTGCTATATTTGGTCTAAAGCTTCCCATTCCTCATATACCTCTCTTGCTAGAGTTAAAAAATGTCTACCCAGACCTGTGGAAGATGAATTATTTTCCATGCTACAACCCCTTTCCCATAGCTGAAATATTGCGAGCCTTTTGCTGCTCTATCACTATGTGTTCCAACAAGTTACATTCCTTAGTCCCACCAACCCTAACTTTTGCAACTGGGACCTGCCATGCCATATACACAAAGGTGAATCATCTCCATTTCCTTTATATTCCATCTAAGAAGTTCCACTTTGACAGTTTCTTCTCTTTTATTGAAGAGACTTTTGGTGGGATGTTTTCACAATCCCTACAATCTTGACCTCTTCAAGTCTATGCTCATACAACACCAAACAGTAACCCTTTACCTTGAGTGGCTTTTGGTATCGGATGAATATTAGTATAAAAATAATAATCACAAAATGTATCTCTTTAAACCATGCCTGTTTGCAAACTTTATTTGGGCAGATTTTCAGACCATCAGATTTAAGCCTATTTTTGTACAAATCTTTGAAAACCAAAATTTATACATGTATCTTTTTTTAAAAAAAAAACTGCCAAACTTCATTTTGGCATTATTTTTGCAACATTAGACATATAAAAATTTTTACACATCAATTTTTATTCAACCTATTTTTTACTGTCTGGCTTCATTTTAGCAGTTTCTATTTTTAAAAAAATCCATGTTAGTACTTACTTCTGTTAATAAATATTTTTTAAACACTCCCCTTAAAAGAAAGTGTAATAAGCAAACTTAGTCTATTGTACTATTTTTTATTTACTTTTTTAATTATTTCATATAATTTTACATTTCATTTTATTACATAAATTTTTATTGTTTAGCTAGTTCACATCATGCCAGGAAGAAGAAATTCTAGAGACTGAATATGTGAAACTACAGTGGTTGTCAACCTTTTAAAAAAAGGTATTTTATGTCAGTTTGACAGTTTTTTTAAAACTGATGTAGTACAGTTAAACAAAGAAATATGACTAGAAAATGTACCCTAATGGAATGTACCACATGCATTTTTATTCCATTCTTCTATGGTTTTTATGATCTACCAATTAAAGAAACTGTTCCCAGATCATTACTGAAGTGAAAATAATTTATATTTTAAAGTATGTTGTTGTTCATATCCACAATTTTCTTTATGAAAATTCAAAATATCCTAATAAATTATTTAAATATTGTTAAATTTATTATTCTAACTTGGTTCAGTATATCAACATAGGAATGGGTAGTTATGGATGCAAAATTCCACATTTGAAAACATCCCATAGAATTTTAAAATATAGTGAATCAATTAAAATTTAGCTCTTCACAATGAAAGACTGAAGAACTAATTGTTTTTTTAATTATTTGAAAAGTTACAATTTTAATTTGCTTATTTACATTTAAAATTTAAATTGCTTTTCTTTTATTTTTAAACAGTTATGGAAAAATGAATATTTTTTTTTTACAAATCAGTAAAATAAAATCTTTAAAAATCAATGTTATGATTAAAAAAGTGTACGAATTTTTCATCAATTTTATCAATAAAATTTTCGAGAATTTTCATTCCAAGAATATTTTCTTCTGAATGTCCTTCAAAAATTGAAAATGCAACATTTTTTGTGCTAAAAAATGCGGAGTGTGAGGAAAAATAAATAATGTATTTTTGCAATGTTTTTCATTCAGCACCAAGGAAAATTACTACACTTCTAACGCGAAACGATTTTCTTTGATTATTGCTTTCAAAAAAGCGTTTTATATACAATCTTTTTTGTTTTTTTAATTCAACAGGTGCATTTTTATTTCATTTTTCTATGATTTTTATGACCTACCTAAAGAAATCGAGAAAGATCGTTACGTTACTGAAGTGAAAAATAATTTACATTACAAAATATTGTTTTCCATCTGAAACAGATCCACGATTTTTTTCTGAAAATTCAAAATATTCTATAAATTTTTAAACTTTCATTGACGTCGTTTTGGGCATTATTTTTTTATAGCTACTAAATCCCATCAAACAAAAATTGTCATAGTTTCTTAATAATCATAATTATTTCTCTTTCAATAGTCAACGTACAATTTTCATTTCAGTGAACAGAAGCAAAACTAATAATTTTTGCAAATATCGTATTTTTAAAAATATAAAACAATTTTGTTTGTTTTTGCCTCATTAATTTTTCATTGTGGTAGGTAAGAAGAATGAAGAAAAATATTTTTGAGGCAAATTTTCAGCTACAAGGTAAATTTCGTGATTGCTTCAAGATTAATTTTCAAAACATAAATTAAAATTATAAGTAGCAGATTTTTATTTTAATTATTTATTTTTGTGACTTTCATCGCAGTTGTTAAAAAATTGTTTATGAAAACAGTGACGTCATGAAATGGCCACATCGCAGAAAAAATATTTACTCCGATTCCAAATAACGGAGTAAGATACTTGCTTAACATCGCATAAATCTATCCTTTGTAAAATAGCATAACTTAGACGTAAGTTTTTTTTTTTTTTTCGTGAGGATCTGAGGTTTTGTTTTATTTGTGTATTGTCTTTACTTTCTTTTTTTGTTATCGGTTGAACCAAATAACTATAAAAATCCATAGTTTATTGTAGCTCTCTTCTTACGCCAAAATATTTTACATACGTATATGAATTACGTCCCTTTGATATCGCTCTTCTTCATCGATATTACGAACATTAATGATGGAGAAACATACACGTGGGGAAGCGGAATCTTTAGATAGTTTTGAACTCGATGAAAATGCTATAAATGAATTAGCTTCCATCGGCTACAACTCCATTATGACTGCGATAAAAGAAAAATCACCCACTACTACACACTCCAAAACAAAGAAGTCAACAACTCCACCTTGCAAAGATTGGTTCAAATCAACAACTTATTTTCAAGATGACGAAAATTCCCAAGTTTCTTGCGACATGGATAATGGTTTGTTTGTACTTGATTGTGTTGGTAGCGAAAAACTGAAAGGTAAATTTGAAGAGGAGGAAGAGGCAGGAAGCGAGTCTAAAGTAGAAATGAGTATGGTATCTTTGCCCACTCGGAGAAGTGAGGAAGATGTAAAATCAAAAAAAGCAGCACGCGTGAAAAAAGTAAATACAAAGTAAATAAACTATTTTTGTATATTTTTCCATGTAATTTTTTTTAAAATATAAAACTAAAAGTCTTTTAAACCTCTTGTAATACTTTTTTTACATTATACAAGAATTACTATAAAAAGAACAAATGTCATAATGTATGAAAGAAACTTATAAAAAAAAGTTAAAACTTCTTAAATTTGATTGTGTTCTATAGTTCCAAAGTATATAGTAAGTAATGACATTCTGTAATGATTTTGTTATAAAATATTTAAATGATTTATAATTTACATTTTATTGGATATTTGGTCTTTTTTCTAAGAGTCTCAAATCAAACGATATATATATATTTTTTTTAATCAAAAACTTAATACAATGTCAATGTATCTAAGAAAATTTTTACTTTAAGAATAAGATTTAAATGATTTAGGATCTTTTTTCAACAATTTTTTCCTTAACGTACGTTTTTAAAATGTGCTAAATTAAATTTAATAAATATGGTTTGAAATTTACATAAATATTTTTCTGAAGAGAGGGAGGAAGATTTTACCTCATATTTTTTTGCCCTACTCACTCAAATATTTTTTTTTAATGGAAATTTTCAAGTTAGCATTTTTTTTTTGAAAATCTTGCTTGATATACAAAAAAATCTTAATAATTGCTTTAATAATTATTTAAAAAAAAGGGAAAACTAAAACAAACCATTTAGTTTGATACAAAAATAATGAAAGACAGATAAGGTCTCTATCAGATTAATCTAGTAGCTCCTGGGATAAAATGAATCCCAACAAGTGGATAATCCTGTAAACAAGAGTTTTTGGTACACAGACGTGACTAACTTAGAACTCTGGCTTTATACCAACACATCTAAGAATAATAAAGCACTGCATATCTCCATTTCACAAGTGAGGTAAACCATTAAAAACTGCATAAAATGTCTCTGCCTCCCACTCATCATTAAACACACAAAAGATGTCATTCACATAGTAGTTCGGCTGGCTGGCACCAGAACACAATTTTTGCTCATAAAGTCCCACAAATATATGCCATAGCAGGCCCTAAAAGCCTACACATTGTTGTACCATCAATTTGCGTGTACATTACATCATTAAAATTGGACTATATTGACATCATAGCAAATTAATCAACCTTGTCTAGTTCTTATTTTTAATGTTGCAGGACAGTAGCCTTGTGTATTAAAATGTTGGTTCATCAATTTGGTGACATAGTAATTGTGAAATCAGTCCTCGGGTTGGACAGTGTGTACTTGGTCTCAGTGGAAACAGGGCTAACTGAACAGTACTAAAAATAAGAACTAGACAAGATATCCCTAGACTTTAGCAGTGGAAGGAAAAGTTTACCACTGTAGATTAAATAAAGGGTTCAGTTTTGAATTCCTTGGAGGTTATCTAAATCAATATACACCTGATGAGGGCACAGTGGCTGAAACATTGTGATAACAACAACGTGGACAAATTCCAAATGGAAATTAGAAATTTAAACATAAATACTTTAGTAGTTTGTTTTTAATAATGTCTATCTTGTATGCAATTATTAAGTTTTATGTTTTTTTATTATTAAATGTTATGTATTTTATTTTCTCTTTCCAGGAATCCTGAATATTGTTTAAGTTCTACAATTGATCCACACTTAGATAAGCTTTTGACAAAAAGCAAATCTGCTGTCGATAAGGTAATTGTTGAATCTTTTAAAATAACTTAATATAGTGAAGACATGTAATCTTGGAGCTAGGTGTAATTAAAAAGCTTCTTTCTTTTTTTTGTGATATTCTGTTTTATTTTGGAAAAGAAATGTGGCTTCTTGATAACATCTGGCTAAGGGAGACAATCCCCGCATACAACACTACTGGGAAGAGCCTGAAAACTAGACATTTGGTTGGCTCAGTTCTTGTTAATGAAATTTGGTAGACAAAACTGTTTAAAAAGCTTTTGGTGGTTCTGCTAGTACACAGTAACAAGTCCTTAATGAGTAGATAGGAGTTCTTTAGCCTTGGTTGGTAATCTGTCTAGAGTTGGTGTCTTGATAAAGACACCCAATACCAGCCATCTGGCCACTTGAAAAGGTATATTGACCCAAAACAATGACTAAAATTTTTTTAAAATTTCATGAGTTTGCAATTTGCCACAGGCATATATAGTATGATATTCATTTAGTTTAATATGGCACAAAACAAAATCTGAGTGGGAAAATGTGCCCTAAGCCAGCTTTCTAAGTGGGAATGAAAATCGGTATTTGAAATCCTAGCCTTGTAACTGAACATCAACTGCTAGGAAAAACATTTAATTCTTTCAACAAGCCAAGTGAAATGATGTGGTTATATTTTAATCTGAAGATCAAAGATTGTCTAAATGTGAACATAGATTGATGACAATTTTCTGGATACTTCATCTTCATCATGCAATCAATATCAATAAATTGATTATACAAAGATAAGCTTTTAAATTGGGAAGATATTTTGGTGATGGTATGTGGGGAATTAATTCCAGCTTTATACACTTCCCAGCAATTTCAATGCTGGCAGACTATGCTCTTACCTGTTTTCTTGCACTGTAGTTTTTAATGGAATAAGCAAAGATTTGTCTTTTCCTGAGTATTATTAATTTCTTTATAGTTTTCCCTAGTGAAAAAATTTTTATCTTTTTGGTCACTAGCAAAATTCTTAGTAGTTTCAACTGACTCATAAAAAATATTGAAGATATCATGTTAGATTATATAAGTTGAACTCTAGATTTATGATACCATTGCATTTTGTTTACATAAGCAATTTTTGAGTGTACACTATGCATTAACTCATGGGTGGATTGTGAATATTTTTATTTTTTAAGTCCTTTAAAATTCAGTTGTTGAAACTACTGAAAAATTACCATCTGATAATTCACTTATATAAAACTAATTTAGCTTTCAACTTATTTTCATGTTTTGAACTGAATTTTTAATTTCAGGTACTCAACACAACTAAACTTGCTGCAGATCCAACTTCTGAAATCATAAGCAAAAGACAAAAAAAGAAAATGAACAAGGTAAGACTTAAGATCTTTGTATCTATTCAATTGTTAAGCTAATTTTGTTAGAATTGTTTTATTTTCCATGTTTTAAATATTTTTTTGGAGGCTCCTTCTTGTCTCTAGATTTAAACTTGCCCAATAATACAGCTTTAACATTATATAGAGCATCTGAATGACTTCTGATAGGTTCGGTGGCTCAGTTTATAACTAGTTATATTTTTTGACTACTTAAAAGTAACTCTTTTTTTTTTTTTTTTTTTTTTTTTTTTTTGTAGGTTGTATTCAATAAACTAGTTTTGCTTTTGATCTATTTTTAACATAAACAGTTAATAAAATTAAAATTTGTAAAAAAAAAAAAAAGTTAATATAAGATGAAAAAAATCAACTTCCAAATGTTGCATGTAGAGAAATGTATAATTAAAAGTAACAATCTTTAAAAGGATATTCCAAACAAAACCTTTTCTGGATTTATATTAAATTTTTCATAGTTAAATACCACTTTTCATTCTTTAAGAATATATAGCACAATAGAGATGAATTCTAAATCTGTTATATTAAAGTAAACATACATATAAATGCCAGTGGATTTTTTTTTTTTTTTTTTTTTTTAGGAAAGGCGAGATAAGGTGTGTAGTGACAAATGGTTCAATATGAAAGCACCTGAGCTGACCAAGGATGTTAAAAACCAATTGTCAGTTCTCCAGTTGAGAGAGATTTTGGATCGCAAGAATTTCTACAAGAGTAATGACCGGAAAAAATTCCCCAAATTTTTCCAGGTTTGTATCCTTTGTTCTATTAGAGAATCACTTGTACTTAGGTTTACTTATTTTTCTATTTTTTTTCTACAAAGTCTCTTGGATTGCAAGCAAATATCCTTGTTTTCTTGGGAGATTTGTAAGAGTTGCTGGGGGTTTACAGCACCAGCTACTGGTGTATAACAAAATCTTATTTAAATTCTTTATATCAAAAAACAAATCTATTCACTCTTCTAAGAGATAAGATGTGTAGTGACAGTTTAATATGAAAGCACCTGGGTGTTACTTTTTTTTTTTTTTTTTTTTTTTATATAATTTTAATATTTTGTAATAGTGCTGATGAATCATTCAACAATGTATTCCCCTTCATTGTTTATAAACTCCTGCCAGCCAACGATCCACAAACTCTTCAACACCTCGATGATAGAAATCACATTTTAAGTTCCACATTGTTGTTGAATGAAACACCCCTCAAATTGTTAGAAAGAGACCAAAAAAGGTGGTAATCTAAAGAAGTTAAATCAGGAGATTATGATAGGTGTGGCAGAATTTCTCAAGCAAGCTCTTTAATTGCATGTTTGGTCATGTTTGTGATGTGGGGGGTGAGCATTGTCATGTAGAATAATCGCACTGTGTTACCGGTCATGTCTTTTCAGCAGAATTACCTCTTTGAGCTTGTTCATTTGTTCAACATACAGCTTAATGCTCATTCTTGTCTACTTAGCATTTCATCTCAAAGAGATGTCTAATCTGAAATAATATTTCAATAACGTTAAACAATGGTTTCACAGGATGATCCGAGTTACTAATAAGCAAAAAATGCTACAAAAGATTATTCTTCAATATCATTTGCAGAACATCTGATAACATCAGATGCGTGCTTTTAGCATCTTCATTTAAGGGCCAACAAGAATGATATAAAACAGAGATAAAACACATTTTCAAAATAGTATTACATATTAAAGGATTAAACAGTCATTTAAGTTTACTCAGAGAATACAGTTTCCACAAACTTCTACAAATCTTCCACAACCCTAATCATAGTAAACTATTACACCAAAATCAAAACAAACAGCAATATTGAAGAATGAGTTCTACTTCATTGTTTACCTATCTCATTGAAGGACACAGGTGTGTCCGAAAATTCCAACTTAAAAATTTTCTCGTCATGATTCAGTTTAATCAAAAGACCTACTAATATATAATAAATGTCATCAGTCTTATTGACAGTATTTTTATCATTTTGTCTTTTTATTCCCTGAATTTTATTAACTGGCCTATAAAATCTACACATTAAAAGAAGCACATATGGATCATCTTTCATTTTAATATATATATATATATATATATATATATATATATATATATATATAGACTATATATCACCATCATATCAAAATCTTGTAGATATTTTTATCAAAAGTGCCGTAGGCATATTTTAAACCTCAAGTGGCAGGGTACTTATGTCAGTTTTGGGGTAGAATTTGCAGGTCTGAAGAGGCACATGAGAGTGCACAAGGAGAAAGTCACTTTCAGAACTCTACCATGTGTCACATATTTAAAACACTATGTGTGAAGATATATATATATATATATATATATATATATATATATATATATATATATATATATATTACATACCTGAAATAGAAATAAGTCTTTGCCTAATTCAGCATGACAAAAGTCATGTAATCCATTAGTCATAGGAGCAACACATGTACTACAGCTATAGCAAGTGGGTATGTAGGGTGAGATAGCCCGATGGAACTTTATCCTAGACTGGTTGCCAAACAAGACTGAAGAACTCGATCTATCCTGCTATTTAACTCCTAGCTGGGAGAAGAATTGACAAATTCATGTTTTTCTTAAGGGGATTTGTGCAAAAGTGAACATGCTAGATTGACCTGGAATTTGAACTCTACCTGCTGGTTCCACTTTCTGCACTGATAGCAGTTACACTACCAATGCCTAAGTTCTTAGTAATGAATAAAAAATTTAATATTTTAATATTTGGCAACTAAAAGTAATTATTATTAGAAATTTGAATCTACTTATGGAGTTGACTAAAAAAAATCATGGTAATATTACTATTAAAATAACTTGAAGTTTTTAAAGATGCTTTTCCTTTACATTTTTCTTTTTTTTTGTTTAATTTGTTTTGTGCTTCCTATTTTATTAATAGTAATGAAAATTATTCATTTACTCAATATCAAATTGCTTGTGATTTAAAAGGTGTTACATTTTCTTCACAGATGGGTAAAGTTGTTGAAAGTCCTGCTGATTTCTATCATGCTCGTATTCCTAAGAAACAAAGGAAAGCCACTCTACTGGATGAGGTGATGGCAGATGCCGACCTGAGGAAGTAAGTTCTTTAATATTTTTTTTTTTATTTTATGAGCCCATGACTGACAAGATGTCATTACAAAATGAGATAATTACTTATGGATATATTGGTTGGTGCCTTCAATTAGTCAATTTGAAAACTTTTGAATCAAGTGTTTATTTCTTCAGTAGAGGATCCACACTATATACAAGATGCTGCAAAGTTCTAAGCCTAACCCAGAATTGTTTTAAAAAAATATTTGGTCAGATTTTAGGAAATAGGCTGAGCCAAGAAAATTTTTGAAACCCCTTTTGTACCTGATGTTTATTTTTTTTTTTTGTTGAAAACCAATCTTTGGCACAGTTCACAATGGTCAATCTTACTTTCCTCAACAATTTCTCACATTCCACATTGTTGTAAAGTAACCACCACAATTTGTTTAAAAAAAAAAATAGAAAATTTTTGTTACATTAAACTAGCAAATCATACATGGGAATATTTTAATATGTGAATTAGTTGTGCATGTTGACTACTTCTCATATTGCATAATGTTGATTATTCTCAAGTTCAGTTTTGAAGTTGTCTACATAATTGTAGGACATTGAGAAATCTCTCAAAAAAAAAAAAAAAAGTTCACAAAATTCTTGATCATTCACAATATTTTCAGCCATAAACTGCACAGACCTTTTGTTGTTGTTTATGCAGCATTTTTACCTTTCTTAAATTAAAAAAACAAATGCATAATATGCCAAAAATGTTGCTTATTTACTTCTATCTTAAATGATAGCTTCAATAAACTTATGTTTGAAAAAAAATTCCTTAATTTTCATGCTGACATAAAAGCTGTCTTAATTGATCCTTTTGAATTGATTTAGTTAAAACTTAATTTTCTTCATGTCTTGGCAAAAACACCACAAACATTTCAGGTTGCCCAATTAGCAGACTTGCTGGACATATTTAAAATGTAAGTTCCCTTTTTAGAAGGGAAATAGCAGCCATGACTTTTTTTTTTATAATGTTGATATAAAAATAAAATAATAATTAATAGCAAAATCAGGAAGTTTTTATAGGAAGCTTGTCAGAAATTCTACCCTTCTCTCTACTGATATAAGTTTTACTAATTAACCCATAGCTGGAAGGAATAAGCGGTGGATTCATACCTTTTATCAAGGATATTTGCACATAAGTGAATATAACCAATTAGAATTTGACTCTCTAACTTCCACTCCCAAGCCGTTATCCATTACCCTACCCACACATCCAAGCTTACAGCATCTGGCATTTCCAAACAGTCACCTATCTAGGTACTGACCAGGCTCAACATTTCTTAACCAGTATGAGAACCGGTATTTCAATATGATATGGCTGTAAGCTGCCTGTTATAAACTACATTGAATTTGAATTCTCGTATTAAATTTATATTTTATTGTATTAGAAGTGAATTAAAGCTTTATCTTAATCATCTATATATTGGAATGCATTTTTATTTAAATTGTTTTCTGAGCATGAATAGTTTATTAAATTATTTTTTTTAAATTTTTTTATAATTGCTTTTATTGTCTTGGCAATCCCCAAATTTTCTCTTAACATAGATACTGTTTTATTTTTCAAGATAATCTATTGTTTGTTAACTTCAGTTTTATGAAGACAAAAGAAACTTAGTTAACAAAGACTCATCAAGTATCTGAAAGCAATTCAATTTATACTTGATTTTGCCTCCATTTTATTCAATGAAATCAAATCAATGTTAATTTTCTTTCCAGGTACCAGAAGAGAAAATATGCTGAAATATTTGGAGATGCCAAAAAGACAAAAAACAAAAAGAAACGAAAACCTGTTTCCACATAATAAGCATAATAAAAAGATATTTATTTTATTAATAATTATCGAGTTTGTTTTCTTGTAATTTCAAATCAAACTTTTTAAAAAAAAAATATCAAGCACAATTTATAAATGACTCTAAAAGTAACAGTGCTTCTTTTATGTGGTATGAGATTTTTATAAAACTGGAATGAGAGTAATAAACATTAAATGAGAATAACTTTCTTGAGATAACTATCTTTTGCTAAGTTTGACCAAAAAGATGATAATGTTTGAAACTATTCAAGAACCAGTATCTTTTATTGAAAATATAGATTTTCTTTAAATTATGGTTGTTTTAGGATGCAAGGTAGAATCCTGCTGGAAGCTCATCTTTTACGTAAATATCTTGATAACTTTATATTGTAATGATGACAAAAGAATTTATTCTTTAACATAATCTACCTTTTCAATACACCTATTTTAGCAGTGCATATTAATATCATAAATTAAACATTATAGACTAAACATTTCAGATAAATTTCTACTTCATCATTACATATTGGGCTATGAACTTATTGATCCACCTTTGTCTTTCAGATCAGTACTGCTAACTAATAAACATGAAGAACTGAAAACTACAATAAAAAGCAAGTAATATTAATATGAAAGAGATACTAATAAAGTTATATTTTTCTCATTTGAAAATTTTTTTAAAAAATTCATATAAGATATTTATAAAAATACTTTTCATTACATTTCGAAATTTAAACAAGTTTAAATAAAAAGTATCACCTGTTTTAGGTTTTGATGTAGATGATTGAAATCCTGTTTATATGAAAAAAATATTACTCTTCCCATTCAAATCCATATTTGTGAACTGGAAACTACTATGCAGAATGAATTTGATGAATATATACAAAGGCAATGTACATTAAACAACAGGGAATGTCCTATAAATGTCTATCATAATTTTTCATATAACTAGTATGTAAATTAAAGCATGAGATATATATATAACTATATTTGGGCAGCAACCTTTCTTTTAAACATCTTTCGTTAAATATGGCAGAAAGAAAATTTAATTATTTTATTTAGTTTTTCCATGAATGTAACATGATGTAAGAGTGCTATAAAACTAGAAAAATGAATTAAATTTTTCTTGTCTGCCATATTTAATGAAATATCAGATCATTGCACAAGTTTGTGCCTGATTTTCATATAAAATGACTGCAACTTGGCACTAGTATTTTTTTGCACTGATTTCAGGTATGTTCTAATCTCTCTCTCTCTCTCCCCTAGGATCATTTCAAATCAAGCAAATAGCATTTTACTGTTTGAGACATACACTGCTATTTTTAGCTATTTGAATCTTTACATAACAATTTGTCTCTGAGTTAACTTTAGAAACTACACTATTAGACTACTTAATGCTTTATTTTAGAAATTCAATTTGAATTAAAAGTTGTTTAATGAATGTTCTGCTAGTGATGACTTATAGAAATAAATCATCACCAGTGTGACATGTGCACTCAAAACTACCACAGCAGAGACTGGCAGTGGCCCAACATGAAATGGAGCAAATCATGCTTGGCAACACCTAGATTCATCAGCAGCCTGGAGTGAAGGATATAGTTGAGGCAATCAAAAAGGGCAAACATAGATGGGCTGGCTTGGCCATGTCTCTTGTCTCAGATACAAGTGAACTATTATAGTGACAAAGTGAACACCAAGACAGTGGAAAAGAAGGGAAGGGTGGCAAAAGGCAAGATGGTGTGTCAATCTGACCTTATGCCTTGGCCCCACAGTATGACCAGAGATAGGAAGTGGTGGGGGTCAACCAGGGAGGGGTTCCTCCAACAGGAGTGAACAGGCTCTGGATTTATTAATGTGTGTCCTTAGCATTGGCTTTGCTATTTTGTTCTTTCCTTTCTATATTCTGATACATTTGTGTTGTACTAGCTTTATTTATTTTTTCTTAGCCAAAAAACAGTTCTACAAATCAAAGTATCCTAAATAACACTGAGAATAGTTATATTACTGCAGCTAGTTAAAATAAAAACTATGGGATGGTTGTGCATTTGTTGGAGAATAGATGCATGTTCAGCAGTAAAACTTAAACTTGAACCACTTTTAAATATTTACTTGAATGCCAAGCAAAGAACCTTTTATCTTGGTTATATACTTTGAATTCTGTCCTCAAATTGGATTATATATTTAGACTGATAACAGCTCAGAACGTCAGCATTTATTTATATATATATATATATATATATATATATATATATATATATATATAACGCACACATAGTCACAATAAGATAGCTTGGTTTTGTTGAAGGAGTTATTACAGATGTTACAAACTCCAATAGTTTTGCGATTTAACAAGTTCTTAATTAATAAGGTTAATATTGAATGATTAAAAAGGTTTGGCACAAGTCATTGATCAAAGATGTCACTTTAGCAGTTAGAAATAAGTTTTAATGTTATTCATTATATAATGCTTTCAGTTTAGTCTACTTCAACTAATTGTCAGACGAGAGCAAAATTATTTCAGCAGCCAAGGGAAATAATAATGTCGTCAAATAAATTGGGTGGTGTCCCCTGAATATTAGATGCTTTTTTTTTTTTTTTTGTTAACGAACGTGGAGAGGATGGGGTAATAATATAGGGGAGGAGACAGTTTTGTATGACGTCATAGAAAGTGCAAGTAGCTTACGTCACTGTTGCCATGGACACCAGAACAGGAGAGATTCTTATAGGGAGCAGACGACTCATACGTGCCACTGCTGGCTCCAATGGCTTCACTTGTAAATATTGTGACCAGAACGGTTGCCATGCAGACGGCAGGACAGAGATTTATGTTTTCAAAGATTGATTATTGAATAAATGTAAAGTGTGTGTGGATCCTCCATGTTTGGTTGTAGAATATGAGAATCCCCCCTCCCTTGTGTCGGCCTATATCCTCATTTCTTTTCCTCTCTCATTCTTTAAACCTAGTCTAACTAAACAATATAGTCACATAATAAAATTCATTCACTTTTCCTACTAAGTACTTTCTCTTTTTCACTTTTATTTTACTCTCTTTCTTTCTTTCTTTTTCTTTTTTTCTTTTTCTTTTTTTCTTTTTTTTTTTATTCTCTTTTTGCTAGTTAAATCTCTTGGACACACTTTCTAAAAAAATACTATAAATTTTTAAGTCTGTATGTCTGCCTATCATTTATTTACTAATGGAGTCAAGATCACTCCAGTGTGTCCATTTTTTTTTTTTACTTTACAACTGTTAGCATTACAGCAATCTATCTCCATTTTCAAAAATTAATGTTGATCTATATATCCCAATCAGTTTTCTCAAGCATTTTACTCTTCTTCCTGTACTAAATAAACATTTTTAATTAATTAATAATATTGCCTAACAATATAATATTGAGTGATTTATAGATCCTCATGTTATGGATAAGCATTAAGAAATATGTCAGTTTTACTAGTCTTTTGAAGGTTGTTAAAAAAATATTGAATTTTTTATTGTAAAAGCAAGAAACAACTTTGAATGTCACTGCTTTTTTCTTATACTTAATAGCAACAGCATTAAATTGCTAAATATATTTCCTTTGTAGAAAATTCTAAATATCTCACTTGTGACTTTTGCTAATGTGTTTCATTGTATTTTCTATGTTATAAAATTTATCTTTGATGTTTCTGAAAATCTTTTCCTATATCAAAAATACTAATGGAACTAATTTTTATATATGACTTATTTGCAATGTGAGTTAAGATAAAATATGACCTGTTTTCAACATCATCTAATCTGCTCTACAAGCAGAAGACTGGCCAATTTTTTATATCTGATTTCCAGCAAGATAAATTATGGTCAATGGATTGCAACTGCTTGGTATTAACAGTTGAACCATATATGCAGGTTTCTCACTTAAATCCTCTAACCAGTGAGCTATTATCCAAGATCACATTGCCCCCTCCACCCTGCCCCTGATAATTAAAACCTCTCTTTGCTATCTTCTTCTCTTACAGTCACTATTCTCTTGTCTTAATTTCACTACCCAGCAAACTGCGTATTTTGCTTACTATCATCTCTCTTTATCAAAATCTTTTTTTTTCTCTCTCTCTCTCTATCTCTCTCTCTCTCTCTCTCTCTCATCATATTCTCAATAACATTGAAAATTAATTCTAGGATTAGTTATGTTGACCTGAATTCCAGAAAGGTTTTTTATTTGATCCTCTGTCTCATCATGGCTCAGTTTTTTTAGTCAGTTCCAATGATCCACACAAATGAAAGTTAAGTTCATCTCATTGATTCCTCACAGATCTCTTTAAAAACTAATTAGCTGAATGAAAATGATCAGATATGAAGTTCTGTATGCTAAGCTAGAATAGAGACAAAATTCATGTGGGGAATGTTTTATAATATGACCATGACATTAAATATGATATTTGATAACAAAGGATGCACAGGAATAAAAGAAATGATCCCATTTCAATTGGAGAAGTTGAGAAACCAATTTCAGTGTACAATGGTAATAATAATATTAACTGTTTCCCTACAAGGAAACATTAGGTATTCATTGACTGAGCAGCCAGTACTGCTCTCTGTTTGAAAATTATAAAATCTTTCTCTTAAAACAATGCTTCAAGAAAAACGCCAGCCTACAATGTTCAAAGAAGGATGATCTTCAGGCTTCACTTGCTCAAAACCATTTTTAACCATTGATCTTAGAAAGCGGTTGTATACAGATGAGTTTTGATATTTCTGAACAAGTTTGCCACCATGCATAACATTCATATGAAAGTCTCGAACTGATGAGGCTATTTAAGAACATGATTTAGGTTTTCAGGTTAATGTTTTGATTTTGTAGCAATTTGCGGTGTTGGGAGAAACTACCTCTGGTACAGCCTATTCTATGTTCAAATTGCTTTTCTCCTATACTAAGTTTGTTAGGTATTTAGTATTCACTAATTGCATATCCTGAATTTTTATGATGGATTCAGGGTAGGTGCCATCACTGGCTTCATTTCAATTCCTGATTATAGCTTCTGTCTTGGAAAGGTTTATCGTAAGTCCTATTAGTCAAGGCTAAATAGTGATTGCTGCTTTTAGGATGTAACTTTTTTGTATTTTCTCATGCAAATGGACATATTTCTATACCACTAAGTAAATCCTGTATGAGATTAAATGGACTTTAATAAATGTTTTGGCATAGAGCACTTCTTATCATTATTATTGTCTGTTGAGCTTGATTCTCACTTGGTGTCACACAAGTTAAAGCTCAATGAATAAACAAAATGTCATGGTATGACTGGAGGTTTTGAGGAACATGAAACCACCTTTTAATTTCTGTTGCTTTCAGCTCTACCCTAACCAGGGGTGGTAACACCTGTTAGGGTCCCACCTATGGTGAACCCCCAAACAAAAAACACTAGGAAAGTATAAAAATACACTTTTATAGTAAAAATAGCAATAATATATTTTTATAACAAAATGGCAATGAATACATTTTATAGTAAAATTTGAAAAAAATGCAGTTAAGTAATTTTATTTTTAATCATTTCATCCCAAGCAAGGCAGGAATGCCACAGGGAGTTACAGGGAGAGAAAGTGAGGGAAAAGAATGAGTATAAGGAGGATTGAGGAAAGGACAAAAGATGAACAGGATTCAAGAAGATAAAAGATGGTGATTGACATTACATTTAAATTTTTGAAGATTGTAGGTATCAGAGAAGCAAGTAAACAGAAGGGAGTTCAACAGGCAAGAAGTACAAGAAAAGAAAATTCTAGAGTAGAAGTGGCAGTTGTATTTATAATTTAATCATAAAATAATGTCATTATTTAATTAATTTTCATATTTAGATTTTGGCATTAGAAATAATTCATGTGAGTTCACAATCTACTGGTGGTGGATTAATTTGTGTTTTGATGGTTTATGAGCCCTTTACAGGTTATTTAAAGCAAAAACATATTTCAGGTTTTAGGAGGTTGCTTACATTTCCCAAGCAGCTTCCCATCTCGGCACTAACCAGACTTAAGGCTGTTTAATTTCTGATGATTAAATGAGAACCAGTGTTTTCAGCATGATTTGACTAGAGCAGCTGCAGGTGAAAATAGCACAATATGATAATGGTCCTCATCAAGTGCTCTACACTTCTGCCTTGTGCTAAACTAGGGTAAATTGGAGTTAAAAGAATGAGTTGCACCAGTCTATCTGCCTTAAAAATTAACATCCATAGTCCTGACATTCATTTAAGTTTGAACACTAACTATTAGTGCTAGTAAATAGCCATTTATTTAAATGACCTATCAGGTCATCTTGTAGTTCTTTGTGTAGCAGGATACATTTTGATACAATGAAAAATTCATTTTGGTTAGTATATCTATGATGCTGTTTCTTTGAATGTATCATAGGATGAAACAAAAAATTATGTGTCATGGGGTACTTCGAAAGGAAAAAAAAAATATCTTGGTTTTCTCAACTCTCCAAAGCCCACATTCTACTTTTTCCTTATACCATGTACCTTCAGGATGTGGGCAATCATGGCTCTCCACAATTTTCTATTTTTGTAGCTCTTGGCAATGCTTGTCTTTTTACAATCCCTCTTCCTTCCTGTTCTGCTATTCATTTACATTTATTTATTTACAGTTATGTCTACATGCATTCTTTTTTTTTTTTTGCACAAATGTTATGTCTGCATGCATACTTCTTGAAAAGAAAAGAGGCAAAAAATGATGACAATTTGGTGCAAAGAATGCACAACTCCATTGTTTAAAGGATGTTGCAACGATTAATATACTGATTAGAAATATTCAATTTATGAACATTCTAAAGATAAATCATGGCAGAAGAAGTCTAGTACTTCCTGGAGTGATATAGTGGTTTGAAAACTTTTTCCAGAATCTTTATCGATTATATATATATATGAATTCTACTTGAGATCTCATGTGAAATTGTGACCTAATAGAAATTCAAAGCACAGAAACTTACTGAGAGTCAACCATTCATAATGACTGGAGGAAACTTGGGCTAATGATACAGGCATCATTCCTTCATGAAGAATTGGCAACTCTAGGATTCATGAGGTTATGTCATTTTCTAGAGTATTTGGAAGAACAAGCAAAAGACAGATGCAAAGAATGCACAAATCCATTGTTCAAGAAATGTTGCAAGGAATATCATACTGCTAATAAATATTAAATTTAGGAAATACATTTTTTATTTTTCATTATTTTATCATCTAAAAGTGTTAAAATATATTTTTTATAGTTTTTGCATATGATTAAAGTGAAAACTATCCTTACTATGATGAATTTTTTCACTTTTTACCCATATGACATGTGCATTTGTACAACAATTTCCAGCTATTTAAGAGTTAACAGAGATTTCCAAAAACTGAAAGTTTATTTGTGGAGGTCATCTACCCACCAAAGTTCATGTCTTGACCTGATGTGACTTACATTTATGCTACTGTAGAGTAAAATGTGTCATATCACTCCGACCAGTCAGTTATGTTCACTGTTGCTCAGTGATATTTTTTGTATTGTTTAGTGACTTTGAGGATTGTGGAAATGTCAAAAAGAGCCATGCATACTTGTATGGGTAACAGTGAGAATCAGTCATTATCCATCAATCAGAGTAGATTGCAGAAGTCAAATCATAATGTATTTGTGCAGGGTCTTATTAAAATGAAGGCATTAGGATCACCACTTTCTAGGATGTAAAGAAACAGAAAAGTTGTTAAGATTTGATGGTGAAAATCAGAAAATAATGAAAAATAAGAAAACATTACATAGGTAGTTTCTAAGTTCAAGGCAAGAGAGAACAAGTGTTCATAGGCAAAAATTCAGGGATTGCTCAGTGATGATGGAACCTTACTAGTTTGGATTTGGAGGTATTGAATGTTACAAGCCAGTTATTCCTCTATTAAGCTGTTAGTGCTAGTTCAGAAAAAATATCAACTGCAAGACTCTGGTCATCTAGATTTTTGGAGGTGCACTCATATATTGAGGTATCATCTGCATAGATATTCACTAAAGATCTGCATATGTTCTTAGGCTGATCTTTAATATAAAGCAGGAAGTAGGGAATGCCTGCATTGATTTCATCGGCTTAAGAAGACTGGCCATTAACAATGACCTTCATGGACCTACTAGTTAGGAAGGACTTGATAAACAAGAAAACTCTTCCAGAGATTCTATAGCTGGAGAGTTTGCATAGCAACACTTATGTCACACGTCAAAAATATATTTGAGGCAACCATCCTTGTGATATGTTTATTGTCTAGTGATTCACTGATTTTGTTCCTAATGATATCAGCAGTGGATCTAGCAGAGTGAGATCCATACATTTTGTCAAATACATCTTGAGGACTATAGCACTAGTTATTTCAAAAGCCTTTGACAAGGTGTGGCACAAGCTCTCCAGTTATGGAATCCCCAGAAGGGTCTTCATGATCATAAAATACTTCCTAAGAATATGCCATGCCACTTACATAGAAGCAAACCACCCATATTCCCTCTGTATTCCATCTGGGAGAAGTAAGTTCTACTCGAACAGCTTCTTCCCGCAAACCACTGCCCTGTGGAACCGACTCCCAATAGGATGTTTCCCTGATCACTACAATCTTAACCTGTTCAAGGCCATTATCTTCCACTGCTATACAAATAAATGACCCCAAAACATAACCCTCTAACTCAAGTGGCCCCCAGACATTGTAATGGGTAAACCTTGCTGTAAAGAAAAAAAAATCATTCCTACAAATCACTCAGACATGCTTTTGTTATTCACTGATATTTTTTATTGAATCAGTTATATTCCATCACTCCTTCTAGTCAGACATGCCTTTGTTATTCACTGATATTTTTTATTGAATCATTTTTTATTTGGGGATTCAGTATGTGACCATGGCTGGGACCCTAACCACCTCCATGTCAGATTGGACCTGGGAACAACAGCAATTAAAAAGTGGTTCCACACTCCACAAAACAGTGATCAGTAGCCTTGCTGCCAGATATAGTTTATTGTCATGCCCAGGACTACCGTTATTCACATGTCTATGTACCTGTCGTTTTTTTATTCATATCCAAAGAAGCATTTGAAATCAACCAAATAGAGGTGATGTTCTAAAATTTATACCTCATACTTATTTTCATGCAGACTATAATGGTAATATTAGCCA